ATCCATTATCTTTTACCCGCTTCTTCCTTTTCGGGTCACGGGGGTCATTGGTGCCCATATCCAGCCATCACTGTGCAAGAGGCAGGGTAGCCTGGACGGACCACAAGTAGTGCTGCAACAACGAATCGATAAAATATATAAAAATCAATTATTAAAAGTGTTGGCAACGAATTTCATTATCGAATCATTGTCTCGCGCGATTATGTGTCTCTTGCCATGTTGCGGAGCCATTTTCTTCACCTGCAGAGCATTGTCAATGCTGGCTGACTAAATAAAGTTTTAAAATAAAAACTCTGCAGAGCGAGTTGAATGGAGCGAGGCAGAAGCAGAGCAAAGGCAGTGTTTTCAAAGGAAATTAAGTAGATTTTACAAATGACTGACGCCAAGAAAACGGTTCAACCCAAGTCCTCAAAAATGTGGGAGCACTTCACACTTCATAAAGCTAAAAAAAAATGCATGTCTCAACGTGTCTCAGAAACCAAAGCAGCGAAAACGAACATTTTAACGGCACAAACCAGCACAAACGTAGCACTAACCACTCATTGTATTTACTGGAATTTTTGACGTGAGTGGGTTGTCAGCTTCACCAGCTCAGCTGTGCGCCATGCAGACAGTGCACGTTTTACGCACAGGAGCGTCTCCAGACAGCTTTGCAGAGCGCGCACAACTGCTAATGTGTCAGAACTCTTGCATACATTTCAAAGATAAATAAAAAAGCTTACAGTAAAAAAAATACAAGTGAAATGTTTGATGTGTATTATTCACATCACATTTCAAAATTGGTCAAAATAACAGCGATCAAAATGTTAAAAAGACAGTACCAAAAGTAGATAAAAATGTGAGTCATACAGTTACAGGTTGTGACAACAGTATTTTTCTTGATGGAACCGACAAAGAAGAAATAATGAATATAGTAAAACATCTTACAGACAAGAGATCAAAAGATTGGGCGGACATGAATATGATGCTTGTAAAGGATATAATGAGTTATGTTATTGAGCCGTTTACATATATTTGTAATTTATCATTTTCAACATGAATATTTCCAGACAATATGAAAGTAGCTGAGGTAATTCCTCTTTTTAAGAATGGTGAGATATGTGTGTTCAATAATTATAGGCCAATATCCTTGTTACCACAGTTTTCAAAAATTTTAGAAAAATTATTTGTGACCTGATTAGATCAATTCATTGTTAAACAAAATATTATAATTAGCAGTCAGTATGGGTTTAGAGCAAAAAACTCTACATCAATGGCTCTCATGGAATTGATAGAACAAATAACTGCTGCCAATCTAAAACAATATTGTGTTAGTATTTTTGTTGATTTAAAGAAAGCGTTCGATACTACTGACCACATTATTCTCCTTGAAAAATTGAATAAATATGGGATTAGAGGACTAGCACTACAGTGGGTATCCACCCACTTCAAATGTTATCAGCCATTAAATGGCTGTTGTTAGTTGTTATCATCCCCATATGTAGCGGTCAGACTGCCCCTCCTGTACCACCTAGTGGGTTTAAATGAACTTTGTTAGCGTTGTTAGCGATGATAATAGGCTCTGCTTTTAGCTTTGTTACCTCTCATAATAACTTAATGTGGTTAGGTTTAGAGTAACGGGTCTGGCGGTTAGGTTTAGGGTCTTGGTTAGGTTTAGGCACAAGGGTAAGGGGGTTAAGTTTAGGGTTGGTCCTCTGGGTCAGGTGTAAGCTTACGTTTAAAGGGTTACATAAGCTGAAAAAAAACCAAAAAAAGACACTTCCTGGTTTACCCCCATGCAACGCTGCCTATTATCAGCAATAATAACAATAATAACATACCTTTAAACCTACTAGGAGGTAGGTGGGACAGTTTCACCGCTACATATGGGGATGATAACAACTAAGAACAGCCATTTAATGGACTGATAACATTCGAAGCCACTTGGGTATCTAGCTATTTGAAAGATAGAAAACAGTTTGTACAAATAAATGATGTAAGATTTGACCTCTGTAATATCATATGTGGAGTTCCTCAAGGTTCTGTACTTGGACTACAGTTATTTATTTTATATGTGAATGACTTGAAGACTGTGTCAGGACTCCTTAAATGTGTTCTATTTGCAGATGATACCACATATTTTTGTTTGGGTAAAGATATAGAACGGATGTTGGAGTTGATGCAGACAGAGTACGTAAAAATACAAACTTGATTTAAACTTAATAAATTATCATTAAACTTAGATAAAACTAACTATATGATATTCAGTAATAGAAAGAGTGCTGTCGATGTTACATTTAGAGTCGAGGGTGTTGAGATTTGTAGAGTTAGTGAGTTGAAGTTTTTAGGTGTTATCATTGATGAAAAGCTGACATGGAAACATCACATAAATTATGTAAGAATAAAAATGACTAAATCTATAATAGTACTGTACAAAGTAAGGGAATTATTAAATGATAAAGCTCTGTATATGTTGTATAATGCAATAATTGTTCCACACTTAATCTATTGTATTGATGTTTGGGGGAAAGCGTGCAAAACAATTACAAATCCTTTTATTTATTTTTTTTTACAGAAAATAGCTGTAAGAATAATTACTAGAAAGCTGGTGAAGATTCTCAGTCATCTAGGACATGATAAATTCAAAAAACGTTTGTTAAAGACGGGAGCTGGCTGCGGGCCACCGGAACCGGAAACCACTTCCAGCCCATGTCTTTTCCCCCCTGGTCGAATCTCCCTCAGAAGTGGCAACTCTCATTATCAAGAAATCAAGGAAACGTAAATTAAGTTTTATCAATTATATTAAAAAAAGGCAGGAAAAGCTTACAATTTACAGCGCTGGTCTCTCCGGTCTGTGACGTGTTCACAGACACGGAAGAGCCCCGACGCCCCGTGTCATTACTCATTTATAGGGTCCTGGACTCCTCCTTCGCAGAAGGGGAGTTCAACCTGTCTGTATGAGGGGGCGTGACTAAGTGTGATCTCAATGGATCTTATGTGGTTCTGATGTGTTAGGAAATATGAGACGGTGCTTCAAAAGCCTTTCTACGTGATGTAGCAAGCAGAATAAACTCTATTCCTTGACAGATATTGAATCCCAGGGAGACTCTTTTTATAGTTGCTGGCCCAGTTTAACCCAGTCAGAACTGGGTCATAATTTCATTATAATCCTGTCTCTGAGCAGATCAAAACCATAGGACCAGTTTAGATAAGAAAATATCCAACACGTTCAATACAAAAACAACTGGACTTTATTTGTAACAGAAGACGTTTCGCTCCTCATCCGAGGCGCTTTCTCAATTCAAAGAGCAGAGAGTGTGGGGTTCAAGTTATAAGGCTGATTGAGATAAGATACACATATATATGTAGATTGACAATTCACACCTCACACCTTAACAGTAGGGGTTTCTTAAGGTCTTTGTTACTCTAATTCACAGATGAGGCTACTCTGTTCCCATCAAGTGTGAAAACTGGCTGGGAATCAGTCTTAAAGTTGCATTACATGTTTTTGAAATTGGGAATCTGAGGCCTCCTCCTCTGTTAAAATATTTTTTTTCTCTTTTAACATAAATTGCTTTCTTCACCCCTCTCACAAACCATCAGTGTTCTCGGTCCAAAATGTGCATTTTGGTCCTCAAAAGAGTGTCCCTTATCTTTTTTTTATTTTATTATTATTACATCTTTATTTAACCAGATAAAAACCCATTGAGATCAAGACCTCTTTCACAAGGGTGACCTAGCCAAGAACAGGCAGCAGCAGCACACGTCATAAAAAACAAAACAAGTAGCAAGATTATGAAGACTTCAGAAATATATAAAAATATAAAACATACAGTATAACAGTAAATGGCAATAATTATTTAAATCAATAACAATTCAAGATCTAAAACACAGTCACTGTTGACAAGATATCCTTTGTCGATTTTTTAAAAGTTTGCAAAAAGCATTCAAAGTAACAAAGTATCTGTGAGGTGGAGGTGAACAGCTGAGTCTTGTCCTGAGGAGGTGGCTCTCCTGGCCTCATCTGTGAATTAGTTTTACCACAATGGATATGATGAAAGCCGGAGAAAAAGGGGAAGACACAGAAATACCAGACAGCTTTAGCTGTCTGCTATTTCTGTGTCTTCCCCTTTTCTGCTTATTGTGTTTATTTCATTCTGCCCATTCTGCTTTTTATACTTTTCATTCTGCTCCTTGTGTGATTCTGTTTCTGTCTGTTTTCTGTCACTCTCACTCACTCCTCAGTCTGCCTCTCCAGTCTTGATCATGCTCACCTGTCCCTAACCAGCTACCTTGGCCAGGTGCGCTCATCATCTGTCTCTCCCTCAGCCTTACTTAAACCTCTCCTCTTCACTACACAAGCGTCCGGTCATTGTTCTGTTTTACACAGACATCTCAGTCCTCCTCTGTCCGTCCTGTTTCTGTCCATTTGGTGATCTGCTCTGTTTTGCTGGCTGTAAGCTTGAGTATGTTTTTGCTGCCTCGTCAGCCTTTTGTTTTGATGTTTACAATAAACTGTTTTTATTTTGAAACTCCTGCCTCGCTCGCCTGCCTGCCAGTGGGTCTGAAAACCGAGGAATGTGATATGAAGATTATTATTGTTTGAATTAATTTTGGGGAAAAAAGGGGCAGATATAAGGTTTTTTTTCTTCTTTCTGCAGCCTTTCATTTTTCATTTGTGATTGTATTTCTTATTGTGTATATTTGTTTTCTTTTTTAAAAATTAGTAAACTTTGTAATAATGAAATAATAACAATAATTTAAGTTTAGATTGTGTGTTGTTACTATAATTCACATTTGTCTAAACTTCTGCATTGTAGGTCAAGAAACAACAGCTAATCAGCTAGCTTTCTGCGTCATGGAACTTGGACGACATCCTGAAATTCTGGAGAAGTATGAGATAATAACCCAGTTGTTAGTTTGGTATGTAGTTAGTGAAGAATGGTTTCTGAAGTTGAGTTTTTACATTTCAGAGTGAGGAACGAAGTGGATGATGTGATTGGGATGAAGCAAGACGTTAGCGATGATGACCTCGGGAAACTGACCTACCTCTCACAGGTACATACCATAAAAAATGAAAGTTTTGCAGAGAGTGGTGAAGGCTGCACATAAGTCTGTTGGGGTCAGCCTCCCCACCATCACAGACATTTACACCCCAGATGCAGGAAGAGGGCCACCTGCATCATGAAGGACCCCACTCATCCAGCACACACAATTTTTGCCCTGCTCCCCCCAGGAAGGAGGTTGAGGAGCATTAAGTGTAGAACCACTAGACTGAGGAACAGCTTCTACCCTGAGGCTGTTAAACTCATGAATCTCTAACCAAGATAATCACTGTGAAAAAATCACATCATGTTGATGCTGATCTGATTCATGTTGTGTTCATGCGTGCTCATCTGCTCACACAGACTCATGCTCATGTTCGTGCTGCTGTTCGACGTAATGTTTTTATGCTTTTAGTGCTTAGTGTATTTTTAGTTGATGTTTTTCTTAGTTCATATCTTAGATGTTATTATTGTTTTTCTTTTACATTTTATAGTTGGATGTAACTGGGACCCTGTGTACATAATTTGTTCGCACCACATGTGGTACATGTGGTGCGAACGACAATAAAGAATCTCTGACTCTAAATATGCAACTTTGTATTTAGTGTCCTGACTGATGTTTATCCTCATGTTAATTCCTGCAGCTTCTGTTACAAATTCAATCAGGCCATCTTTTTCTTATAACAATTTGATTTTACTCTGACCTTCTAGTTCAGCGTTCTTTATGAATGTGTTTATTGTCGTATAAGGAACCACTTTTATAGGCCACCCATTGTAAACCTCCCACAGGTGCTAAAAGAGACACTGAGACTCTACTCAACTGCTCCAGGAACATCTCGTCTGATCGTCGAAGACATGGTGATTGATGGTGTCCAAATCCCCGAGGGAACTTACTGTATGGTGAGATTTTTTTTGTTTTTTAACATTCTTGTAGCTGTAAAGCAAAAAGTGATTGTCTGTTAAATATTATTGAATAATAGTGTCAGCAATCATGTGTTAAACAGAATAAAACTCATTTCTAGGTCACTTAAAACATCTATTCATCCATTCATTATCTTTACCTGCTTCTTCATTTCCGGGTCCCGGGGGTCACTGACACCCATATCCAGTGGTCATTGTCATACTTCCGGTAAGATGGCGCCCGTGTACATGGCTTGCAATCCACCTCTGCTGATGGTGTTTGGATTATTTTTGTTTTGTTCGTTTTTTTAATCTGGGACATAAACTCGCTGCTGATGTATGACCGAAAACAGCTTCTGGATCTTCGTTTTTCTGTCACCGATGTCGCTTATTTGGAACAATATGAGCGTACCTCTGGACCCCCCCCCTCCCCCCCTGCGGGCAGACGTGCTAGATTACTTCCGCTGCGCTCCTCACCTCCCTGCCCGGAGACATCGCTTCAGACGCCGGGGAAAACGTGCTGGGCGGCTGGTAAAGCTTAAAGCGCTGCGCGCAGTGGCGCAAAAAGCGGGTATGCAGCGTATGCAACGCATAGGGGCGCTGCACTGCAGGGGGCGTCAAAACCCTCTGTAGAAAAAATGTTTTTCTAGTAGGCATTTTCTAAATGATCAATAACAGGGGAACAGCACTGATTAGGCGCCCCTCTGCTCCTTCACCTCCCCTCTGCTCCTTCACCTCCCCTCTGCTGCTTCACCTCCCCTCTGCTCCTTCACCTCCCCTCCTATCGCTCTCCCTTCTCACACAGGTGGCTGTGAACACGCCCCTAAGAGAACGCACTCGGCGCGTTTTTTTTTTTTTTTTTAATCTTGAACTACCGCTCGTTGTGCACTTGACAACAAGATGGAGCGGCAGAAAAAAAAGCTATCCGGGGCGCAAAACAGAAAAAGGAAAAGGGAGAAGGATAAAGATGTTGGCGGGATGAAAAAAAGCCTTTCAATGTGGTTGAAAGATAGTAGGTAAGTACTGTCAGTGTATTAGCAGGACAGGAGGGTTTAAATATTCAGGTTAGCTAAAGCTAGCCTAATACACTGCGGTTGGCTGTTAAATGTTGCCTCCCCTATTGATGTGATTTGTTTAGTATTTTCTGTATTTTTATGAATATTTGATACATGCGCCTCGCCTGTCACACACACATATCCACACACTAAGTGTAAGAATGACCAAAATAAAACTCATGAAATATTAACACAGGAAAGCTAAACTGTTGTGGCGGCAGTTCCCAGCTATGATCCAACGCTTAGCCCTCAGTGCTGCAATTTATTCACTCATATGTACATTTATTATTATTGATTCTTTAATTAAAGATGAGTTGTACAAGTTTATGTGTGTATCAGATAAATTAGTCCTCAGTGTCACTATAGCTCAAAAAGGTTGGTGACCCATGTTTCCAACCTTTTTGGCAGAGGGACACTTGAGTTTAAATGTCTTATTCAGTATCACTACAGTGGTGTGTGTTGTGATGTATCTGGTGAGTCAGATCAGATGAAATGTCCAGTCAGTAACTGTTATCCAACAAGGAGATCATTTAAATTCAAGTTTCATTTCTATTGTGGTTTGACTGCTGTATTTTTAAACCTACTTGACACAAAATTAATGTCATTCAGCTGTGAGGATGGAGAGAAGGAAGAGAAGATGACAGAGGAAGAATCAGGACAGACTGGGGAAGGCAACAGGTTGGTCTAATGCAGGTGGAAGTGAGGGAACAGTTACTTAATCCCAAGCAATAACGTGTAAACATTATTTTTAAAAACTGTATTAAGATCTGTCATTTTTACAACTAATATATAATGCTTTTTTGACCTTATGACTTAGTGCAGAATGCCACAGACAAAAGGTGAAGGAGACAGACACGAGGTCAGTGATAGAGGAGACAAGTGATGACATCAGGTAGGAATAATTACATTAGGGAGGCAACAAAAACCTATATACCATGATGGTTTTAATTTCTGATGACCATATTTCATTGTCTTCTTTTTTGGGAAAATTAGTTCAGGCAGACATGGTGAGTTAATCATCACAAAGCAGAGAGGACCAGATGATGAAGAGGGAGAGGAGCAGAGAGGACCAGATGATGAAGAGAGAGAGGAGCAGAGAGGTCCAGATGATGAAGAGGGAGAGGAGCAAAGAGGTCCAGATGATGAAGAGGGAGAGGAGCAGAGAGGTCCAGATGATGATGTAGAGGGAGAGAAGTACAGAGCTGCAGAGGAGAGGGCTGAGGCAAGGCTTTATTCAGAAGATCCATCCGAATGGCCTTTACCACACAAAATGGGGGACACATTTAGGCAGTACATGGTTGAAAATGGCCCACAGAAAGTTTCTGATGGTCCATATCCAAGATCAGAGAAGAATAAGAGGTGTTTTTCCAAAGCGTACTGTTTTCGTATACTGTCTAATTGAGAGAAAGTTGAACGAGATTGGTTACTGTATTCCAAAAATACCAGCAGAGTCTATTGTTTTGCGTGTAAGCTTTTTGGTGAAGCTAAAGTTTCTGATACATGCCTTGTGGCAGGGTACAGTAACTGGCGATGTCTTTCAAAAACACTGAAGCACCATGAAACCAGTAGTTCTCACATAAATGCTTATCTGATGTGGAAAGAAATGATATCTCGCTTACGCCTAGGTAAGACTATTGATAGTGAACTGCAGAGAACCATGGCAGCTGAAAAAGCATACTGGAGAAGTGTGTTGACTCGAGTTATTGACTGCATACTCTTCCTTGCAGAGAGAAACTTGCCACTAAGGGGGAAAAATTCTCAGTTAGGAAATCCTAAAAATGGAAATTTTCTGGGAATCCTTGAGCTCATTGCACGATATGATGTCACACTGGCAGAACATCTTAGAAAGGCAGCCTCCAAACAAACCACTGGATATCTGACATGGTGCACTCAGAATGAATTTTTAGATTCAATATCAGAGTGTGTTTTGGGTAAAATATCTGCCCAGATCAAAGCCTCTAAGTACTTTGCAGTGGAACTGAACTGCACACCTGATATTTCAAAGCAAGAGCAGGCCTCAGTCATTATTCGATATATTGATACTGATGAGAAGAAAAAAGTCACTATTGCAGAGTCTTTTGTAGGGTTCACTGCTGTGAAGGACACAACTGGGAAAGGCCTCACAGATACACTAACAGGGGTTCTGGAGAGTCTGGGGTTGGATTTGGCTAATTGTAGAGGGCAAAGTTATGACAATGGCTTTAATATGAGGGGAATAAACAAGGGTGTTCAAGCTTTAATACAACAGAGATGTCCAGAGGCTTTATTCATCCCCTGCTGCAGCCACAGCCTGAACCTTTTGTTATGTGATGCAGCCTCATCTAGCAGAGAGTGTCTCACTTTTTTTGGCACTGTTCAAAGATTGTACACAATCTTTTCGTCTTCTGTGAAGAGGTGGGACATTCTCACAGAGTTTGTCGACATCACACTGAAGCCTCTGAGTGACACCCGGTGGGAGGCAAAGCTAGACTCTGTCAAAGCTATACGTTTCCAGATGGGGGGAATTTTAGATGCACTACAAAAGCTTGGAGAAGTGGCAGGAGACAGCAAGATTGTCTCAGAGGCAAAATCACTATCTGATGAGATTGTCAGTATGGAGTTCCTTGTGTGCCTCATAATTTGGTATGCCTTATTATGTGAGATCAACTTTGCAAGCAAGGCACTACAAGCAGCAGATGTGTCAATGGACACAGCCATTAGGCTAATCGAGTCTCTGAAAGAGTTTTTGCTCAAATATAGAGAAGAGGGCTTTCAGAAGTCACTTGACATTGCAAGCAAAATGGCCATCGAAATGGATGCTTCTCCTAAGTTCAAAGAGAAACGACTTAGGAAGCAAAAGAATTTCCCAGATGACAATTCATGCACTGGTCATCATGAAAAGGAACCCACAAGGCACTTCAGGTGCATGGTTTTCAATGTTATTGTTGACACACTCCTCCAAGAGCTGTCTGAGAGGTTTTCCAATTTTCAACTTGTGTCTGAGAAATTTAAATTCATCACTAAAATGGAGCACATGACAAAAGCTGAGCTGGAGGAATCAGTGACCACATATGCCCTGACCACTTGTGATGTTTCAAGAGATATCATTCAAGAAATATACCCAGCAAGCCGTCTACTGAAGGGTTACAAGGCTCTAGAAAAGTTAAATTTCCTAATTCAAGAGGACCTTGATTTGGTATTTCCAAATTTGACAGTAGCCCTTAGAGTATTTTTAACCATGCCTCTGACAGTTGCATCTGCAGAGAGATCATTTAGCAAGCTGAAGCTCATCAAAACATACATTCGTTCAAATATGAGCAATGATCGCTTGTCCCAGTTAGCAGTGATCTCTATTGAAAACAGTGTGGCACAGTCTATTTCATTTGATGTTATACTTGACAAATGGGCAAATGCAAAGTCACGGAATGTAACAGTTTAAATGTCATAAATGTTAAAACTCTGACATGGACTCCAGGCTGTTAAGATGTCATATTTCCGCTACATAAAATGTTGAGCACTGACTGAGTACCACTACTGTTATATATTTGTACTTTATAAAACTTCTTATTTGTTTATGATTGAAATGATCACCTGATATAATATGTAACATTAAAAAAATCTGTAATATTACTACTGTATTTTCTAAGTGCATGACTAAGCTGTATGAGGCGGCAAGTAAAAAGGAGCGGGTGGGGGGGGGGCGCCGATGATGTGTTCGCATCCACCTCAAAAATATGTAGTTGCGCCCCTGGCTGCGCGCTGCATCATCCTCTTTAGCTGGTGGTCATGGTTTCCATCGCCAGCTTCCCGCGTGCCTGGACCAGGTAAACAGCAGGAGTTGTCAGCCAGTGGGCCACACGGACCGACCCAGAGGGGCTGTTATTGAAAACATGTGGCCACTGATGCGCGAGAACTTCACCGCTGCTAGCTCCACTTTGGACAGTATCCGGATGTATTTGGTCAACGCAAGATCTGTTACCAACAAAACTTTTATCCTCAGGGATTACTTTCAAGAGTACGAGTTGGACTTTTTCTGCATCACAGAGACTTGGATGTCTCCGGGTGAGTCCAGCGCCTTGACGGAATTATTGCCACCGAATTGTCTGTATTTTAACGCCCTGCGGACATAAGGCCGACGCGGTGGTGGATTATTAACAATATTCAAATCAACCTTTGACTGTAAACAACTGCCCATCCCAGATTCCCACACCAGCTTTGAGCTGAGCATCTTTGAACTCGGCCATTCGCCTCCGACGTTATTTGCACTCGTCTACCGCCCACCTCGATCTAAGGATTTCATAAATGAGTTATCTGTTTTCTTGGCAGGCAGCACGGTGGCGCAACTGGTAGAGCTGCTGCCTCTCAGCGAGCAGGTCCTTGGTTCAAACCCCGGTCCAGGGGCCTTTCTGAGTGGAGTTTGCATGTTCTCTCTGTGCATGCGTGGGTTTTCTCCGGGTACTCCGGTTTCCTCCCACAGACCAAAAACATGCATGTTGGGCTGATTGGTAACTCTAAATTGTCCCTAGGTGTGAGTGAGAGAGTGAATGTTTGTTTGTCTCGTTTGTCTCTATGTGGCCCTGTGATCGACTTGCGACCCATCCAGGGTGTACCCCGCCCCTCGCACAGTGATTGCTGGACATGGGCACCAGCGACCCCCGTGACCCAAAATGGAATAAGCGGGTAAAGAAAATGGATGGATGGATGTTTTCTTGGCTGAAATCACACCAAAATATAATCATGTTTTCATTATTGGGGACTTTAATTTGCATGTGTGCTGTCCTGAGAAGCCCTTGGTTAGGGACTTTTTAGATTTATTGGACTCATTTAATTTAACTCAGCATGTAAACGGTCCCACCCAAGAGTGTGGACATACACTGGACCTTGTTTTAACTCGTGATGTGACTGTTAGTAATCTTGAAATTGATGATAATGTTTTTTCAGATCATATGCCAGTCCAGTTCAAGTTCACCCTCCCCCATCTAACTCCTAAGTCGTGCATTCCTGCACGTAGTAGCCGGACCATTAACCATTTCACTGCCGCACATTTCACTGATGTTTATAACTCTGAAATGATCATTCAGCCCCCAGTGTTTCTCTCCACCACTGCGGAGCTGACATCCCAGTTCAACTCTGTCTGCTTAAAGACTCTGGATCATGTTGCCTGATAAAACCAAAAAATCAAAACTCAGAGCAAAGCCTTGGCTGAGTGACGTCACTAAGGCCATTAGGCAGCAATGTAGGAGGGCGGAGCGCAAGTGGAGGAAAGACAGGCTGCAGGTCTCTTTTCAAATACTTAGAGAGTTGGCGCCGTTATCAGGAAGCAGTGAAAGCTGCTAAATCCAAATACTTCTCTGATATAATTACCTCAAACTCTCGCAACCCACATGTCCTCTTCTCCACCCTAAACTCTGTTCTCCACCTCACTGAACCATCACCTCTGGAAGCCTCGACTGAGCTGTGCGAGAACTTCTTACATTTCTTTTTGGAAAAAAATTGTGACCACTCGGGCTCTCATTTCCCCTCCAACTCATGACCCATCCACTTCAATCTGTAGCTCTGTTTGATCATTTTGAACCCATCACTCTATCTACTCTAGAGCAGGTCATGTGCAGCTTGAAACCGTCTGGTTCCCCCTTTGATGTGGTCCCCCCTCGACTCCTAAAGGAGGTTTTTACTACTCTATGTCCATCCATTCTGGCTATAGTAAACAGTAGTTTATCCACTGGCATGGTGCCAAAATCCTTTAAACATGCTGCTGTTCAGCCTCTCCTGAAAAAAAAAAAAACTTTGACCCCTCAGTCGTATCCAACTTCTGGCCTGTCTCCAAACTCCCATTTGTTTCTAAACTACTGGAGAAAATAGTCGAGTCCCAGTTGAAGTGCTTCCTGGAGGGTCACGCCATCTTAGAGCTATTCCAATCTGGCTTTAAACCTCTCCATAGCACTGAAACAGCCCTGCTGAAGGTCTTTAATGACATTTTCTTAACCACTGATACCGGTGATTCTGTGCTGCTTGTACTGTTGGACCTCACAGCCGCCTTTGACACCATCGACCATGAGATCCTCATTGCTAGGTTGGAGCAGTGAGTGGGCATCACAGGGTCAGCCCTCAATTGGTTCAGATCTTACCTCACTAACAGATCGTTTTGTGTCTCCATCAAGGATTTTAGTTCTGCAGCGGCAGAGCTTAAATGGGGGGTTCCGCAGGGGTCCATCCTGGGTCCCCTCCTATTCTCTTTATACCTGCTGCCGCTTGGTGCTATTTTCCAGAAACACAACATGCCCTTCCACTTCTACGCCAATGACTGTCAAATTTACTTGCCCCTAAGACACAATGGCACATGCTCTATTCAACCTCTGCTCGACTGCCTAGCTGACATCAGGGACTGGATGGCTTTAAAGTTCTTAATTTTCAATGAAAAAAAGTCTGAAGTCATGTTGTTCCCTCTAGGGCATTAACAGAGTACTCGAGTAATCTACACATCGATTGCTAGGACATCTATCAATGTTAAAAATGTAAAGTCGGGCGTCCGTAGTGACGTCATATTATGTGACCACTGTATGACCGTAGGGGGGCGGTGTTGCACTGTTGCAGGTCACAGAGTATGGTGTATCGTATCACCGGGTCCTATCCACCGAACCAGAACCAGTTTCGGTTTAAGTTTCGTTTTTGACGTGCTGCGTTTCTTCACGTTTGCAGTTTAATAATAATAACTAATGGTTTAGTTTTTTCCTGTGACTTATTTGCAGTATGATAAATGGTAGGAGCATAATATACGCTCCCAATGTTTTGTTGGTCTTTTGTTTTTGTAAATAATTACCGTTTTTTGCGGTTTTATTTTTTTATTTATTTTTGTATCTTGAGATCTATGACGTCATCAAATACTCGAGTTCTACTCGGGTTTTATTATGTTAATGTCGAGTTTAAAAAATATATACTCGTTCAACCCCTAGTTCCCTCCCAATGACACGATCACAAATCACTGCATCGACCTCTCTGCTCTAACACTGTCGGAAAAACAGAGTCACTAATCTGGGAGTGATAATGGACCCTTCCCTGAAACTTAACAATCATGTAAACATGATTGTTAAATCATGTTTCTTCCAACTGAGGCGGCTGTCTAAACTGAAGCCCATGTTGTCTAAAAATAACCTGGAGACAGTATTACATGCATTCATTACATCTAGGCTTGATTACTGCAATTTGCTTCTGTTTGGTATCAGTCAGACCTCCATAGCACGACTACAACTTGTCCAGAATGCAGCAGCCCGATTTTTAACCAGCACAGGCAAAAGAGAGCACATTACTCCAGTTTTGGCCTCATTGCACTGGTTACCGGTTCACTTTCAAATCCAGTTCAAAATGCTCATGTATGTCTACAAATCACTGAACAGTTTCACGAATTAGTGGCAGCAATCATGCAATGAACGGAATAAAACTCGTTTCTAGGCCACTTAAAACATCTATTCATTCATTCATTATCTTTACCTGCTTCTTCATTTCCGGGTCCCGGGGGTCACTGACACCCATATCCAGTGGTCACTGTGCGAGAGGTGGGGTACACCTAGGGACAATTCAGTTACCAGTTAGCCTAACTTACATGTTTTTGGTCCGTGGGAGGAAACTGGAGTACCCAGAGAAAACCCATGCATGAAATGAGATTTTACTTGCAATTACTATTTTTTTGTCTTTAGATTAACTCCTATGTAACTGGGAGAATGGACAAATTCTTCAAAGACCCACTGAAATTTGATCCAGACCGATTTCACCCAGATGCTCCCAAGTAAGTAAAACAAAATGTTTTTATGATGTCAAGTTTTAGTTTCTATGTGACTTTAGAAGCCATTATTGTGGCAGATGAAAGAAAATAAATTTCTATTTGTTTGTTTTTACCAGGCCTTATTACTGCTATTTCCCTTTTTCTCTTGGTCCACGCTCATGCCTAGGGAAGAACTTTGCTGAGGTGGGTGGGATACACACAGTGTGTACATACAGTATGTATAAACCAGTGGTGAACCATGACTGTAACAGCTGTCTTTAGTCAGGATGTAATATTGTAACTTCCTAATAATTGGGTCAAATGTCGAAGACGCTAAGGAGTCAAGGTCCTAGTACATCACTTTCCTTTCAGCAACCTGTTGATCCACTATGAGAAGGTACTATTTATAAGACTGAGCTGAATACAGCTCCTCAGACTGAAGAAGTCTTTCTGATGAAAGATGAAACGTTTCTACACTTTTTTTTTTGTTTTTGTTTTTTGAACGTCCAGAGGACCTGACAACATTTTTTAGACACTTTCCTTTTAGTTTTGCAATCCAGTGACTCGCTGACAGATTTCGCTTTCCCCTATTTTTATACATCTGTCACAGGAGAGACACGTTATGGTATAGTCTCAATCTGTACCTATGCGCTTCCGTAAATCTTTATTTATCCGACCCATAACTTCTGATCGATTCAAGAACATTTAATGAAACTTAATATACGTGTCATCTCTAAACGGAGTGTCACACTTTTCATCACCCCAAATTCAAGATTAAGGTCGCAAGTCAAGTTCAAATATTATACAGGGTTTTTTCTTGTTGAGGCCATTGCTATAGATTGCTGTAATACAGTATATTAATTTTGTTAATGGATATAATATGCCATCTGCGGTACACTTGTAAGTACAATATCTGACTTATGTCATTTTTTTGCATTCACTAACTACAACAGAACATAAATTCCAACCAAACATTTAACAGAACAACCAACAGGGACAACCCACACGAACACATAACTAAGAAAAAAAAACACCAATTTTTGTTCCGAGGTTACCCAGAAGGCCATGCGACTCAAGCAGTCTATTGCATTCAAGTACAACATGTAATTTCAATAATTCATACTGAAATTTAACAGTAACCCCAAAAACACTATTTTTGTGAAATTTCTTCATTGAATGTAATCAAACACAACTGTGATATTGAGAATTATCCATGTAAACTTAAATCTGATATTTAACTTAATTTTTTTAAAGCAACAATAATTTTTATGTGGAATTTTGAATTTACAGGTTACAACTGAACAGATCCCAAATCTTAACATGGTCAAACTAAAATACACCTTACCGCACCCTCCCAAAAGTTCAGAGCTCCAAGTTTTTGTCACACCCACTCTACATCAACATTGTGAATGGTTAATTTTCTTGTCAGTTATTAAACAAACTCATCCTGGAGAGACTCTGACTAAACTGTGCCTTCCCTTCTGACAGTGAAGTCCTAACTAACGAGAAAAAAAAACCTTTATACCTGTTTCTGTCTGCAGACTCAAATTTAAAATAATCTGATTGGATAACTGTATTTTTACAAGTAAATATTATCGCTCAATTGCAAAATGCAAAATAGTTAACAGAAAACATGACATTTACCCCCCCCCCCCCAAAAAAAAAATCCCCAGAAAAATAAACTACATTGTAAATAGAGTTGCATTCGGGCCTAAAAAAATCCCATCTGACCCGGCCCCAGCCCATAGCCACCATTTCCGAACCCTACCCAATTCGACAAATTAACAGTAATTACAGGTCCGAACCCCCAAAACCCCCGACATTTTTAATTAAATTTTGACTGATTATACAAACCCTTTCCAAAAAATTAGAATATCATGGAAACATTGTTTAACTTTCATAATTCCATTCAAAAAGTTAATCTTTAATAGATGATAGATTCAGAGCACTCATTTTAAACTATTTCAAGTATTTATTTGTTTATTTTTATATAATTTGGGCTTCCAGCTCATGAAACCCACGAAAACAGGAATTCAAAAAATTTGAATACTGTGAAGAAATCAGCCCACACTACTTCTCAGTTTTTCCAGACAAAAAAAAGAGATTAGGATCACAACAAATCAATAAGAATATGGTACTTTCAAAACGATCTTCAATACTTGGTTGGGAATCCTTTTGCCTTTTTTTTTTCATTTATTTTTTTCATTTAACCATTATTTATACAGGTAATTAATAAGGTACTCATTGAGCCACGATAACTCATTTTCAAGAGAGACATGTTTAGGGTGCAGATGGGGGTTAAGGGCCTTGCTCATGGGCCCAGAGCCTCAACGTGGCATTGAGGCAATCAGCCTGTGACATTGACTGGGAGTTATGGAAGCCCAGATTTCCTTGATGCTTGCTGTCAGCTCTTCTTTGTTGTTGGATCTGGTGCCCCTCATGTTCCTCTTGAGAATACCTCATATATTCTCAATGGGTTTAGGTCCGACGAGTTGGCTGGCCAGTCAAGCATTATGGCATGGGCATCAAACCAGGTTTTGGTGCTTCTGGTGGCATGGGCAGGGGCCAGGTCCTGCTGGAAAATGAAATCTACATCTCCATACAGATCCTCAGCAGAAGGAATCATGAAGTCCTCTTAAACATTCTGGTAGACTGTTGCAGTGACCTTGGATTTAAGAAAGCAGAGTTTACCAACACCTTCACCAGACATTGCACCCCAAATCATGACTGACTGTGGCTATTTCACACTGGACCTCAAGCAGTATGGGTTCTGTTCCTCATCCTTTTTCCTCCAAACCCTTGGACCTTGATTTCCGAATGAAAGGCACACTTTACTTTCATCGGAAAAGAGGACCTTGGACCACTGGCCAACAGTCCAGCACTTCTTCTCCTTGGCCCAGTTGAGACGCTTCCTACGTTGGCTCAGGTTCAGAAGTGGCTTGACCCGAGGAACCCAACAGTTGTAGCCCATCTCCCGGATGCGTCTGAATGTGGTGGTTTTTGAAGCTGTGACTCCTGCCTCATTCCACTCTTTCTGGATCTCTGACAGATTCTGGAATCTTCTTTGTTTGATAATCTACCATACCATACCATACCATACCATACCAATTTATTTATATAGCACTTTAAACAGTGACAAAGCACACCAAAGTGCTGTACAGGGACAAACAGAACAAGCACACAGCAGCAGATTACATAACAGGACACCAAAAACGTAGAAACCAACAAAAACAGTAATGGATAACAACAACAACTGCAACATGACCAACACAGTGTGATGCACACAGACTCAGCACAGCTCACACAGTGCTGAAAGCCAGGGAATAAAAGTGTGTTTTTAAACGAGATTTAAAAACTGTGAGGGAGGGGGCCTGTCTAACGAGCAGAGGTAACTCATTCCAAAGTCTTGGGCCTGCTACAGAGAAGGCCCTGTCACCTCTGCGCTTGAGACGGGTTCCTGGGACTGTTAGGAGCAACTGGTCTGCTGATCTGAGAGAACGTGGTGGGACATACGGCTGGAGCAGATCAGTAAGATAGGAGGGGGCAGAGCTGTTTAGTGATTTATAGACATGCAAGAGTATTTTGAATTTGATTCGAAGGTGAACCGGAAGCCAGTGTAGAGAGGCCAAAACAGGAGTAATGTGCTCTCTTTTGCTTGTGCTGGTCAAAAACCGGGCTGCTGCATTTTGGACCAGTTGAAGTCTAGCTATGGAGGTCTGACTGATACCAAAAAGGAGTGAGTTGCAATAGTCGAGCCTGGATGTAATGAATGCATGAATTACTGTCTCCAGGTTATTTTTGGACAATATGGGCTTCAGCTTAGACAGTCGCGTCAGCTGGAAAAAGCAGGATTTAACAATCATATTTACATGATTGTTGAGTTTCAGAGAAGGGTCAAGTATCACTCCTAGATTAGTGACTCTTTGTTTCACTAACGGTGACAGAACGGATAGGTCGATGCAGTGGTTGGTGATTGTGTCATTGGGAGGAAACAGCATAACTTCAGATTTCTTCTCGTTGAAACTCAAGAAATTTAAAGCCATCCAATCTCTGATGTCAGCCAGGCAGTCCAGTAACGGTTGAATAGAGCGAGTACCGTTGAGTCTGAGGGGGAAGTAGATTTGGCAGTCGTCGGCGTAGAAATGAAAAGGTATGTTATGTTTCCTGAAAATAGCACCTAGTGGCAGCAGGTATAAAGAAAATAAAAGAGGACCAAGGATGGAACCTTGCGGTACCCCCCATTTAAGCGCTGCCGAGGCTGAACTAAAATCTTTGATGGAGACACAAAAGGACCTGTCAGCGAGGTAAGATCTAAACCATTCGAGGGCTGACCCAGTGATACCCACCCACTGCTCTAACCTTGCAATGAGGATCTCGTGGTCATTTGTATCAAAGGCAGATGTGAGGTCCAGTAAGAGAAGGAGCACAGAATCACCAGCGTCTGTGAATAGGAGAATGTCATTAAAAACCTTGAGTAGAGCAGTTTCAGTGCTGTGGAAAGGTTTAAATCTACTGAAGCCCATGGTCATCTCTTTTACTGGTGCATCTTCTCCTGACACATTTTGCCCTTACACTCAACTTTCTATTGATTTGCTTGGACACAGCACTCTGTGAACAGCCACCCTTCTTAGCTATGAACTTTTGTGGCTTACCCATCCTATGGATGATATCAGAGATGGTCTTCTGGCCAGTTATGTCTGCAGTCTTCCCCATATTGAACTGAGACAATTGAACCAAACTGAAGCAATTTAATGACACCTGGGGAAACCTGTGCAGGTGCATTGAGTTTAGTAGATGATTAGTGTGTCACACTCAGTTTAAAACATTCATGCCCTGCAACATTTGGGCTGGTGTCTCCACAGTATTCTATTTTTTTTTTATTCCTGTTTTTGAGGGTTTCATGAGCTGGAAGCCCAAATTATGTAAAAATAAAGAAATAAATACTTGAAATTGTTTAAATTGTGGGCCCTGAATCTATCATCTATTAAATATTAACTTTTTGAATGGAATTATGGAAGCTAAACAACTTTTTCTATGCTATGCTAATTTTTTGGAAAAGGTTTGGTTATTAACAGTTGACGGACACAGGCGGGGCAGAAGTTCGGAGCTGAGGGGGTGTTTGTCCTTTCATGACTGTCAAAGTACATTAAATCACTGCTTTTGCCTGAATTTGTCATTATTCAGACACAGACCCTGCTCTGACATGTCTGCGAGGATATTTTGGATTTCTCCTGTTTCGGTTGTCTGAGTGCAGCGGCTGAATGTCCATTTGGGCTTTGATGGATTGCTGCCTGGCAGTAGTCCATCTGAAGCTTAACTAAAATTTTTTTTTTTTTTACCTCTTTCAAAGCCAGTCAGCGCATGGTCAAATGGCCACATGCAGCTGGTGATTGTATGGCAAGCCAAGTTGCCATATAATTGGATCGTCAGCTGAGTTCGCTGACACAATCAAAAGTCCGAAACCAACCCGGCCCGCCCATCCAGCACATTATTATAGTCCGCACCACCCAGAATTTGGGTCGGACCATGCCGTGCTTCAGACCTGGGTTAAAAATGACAGCTCTAATTGAAAATGTACACTTTGTATACAAAAAAATTTAAATTGTAAGTGTAACATTTATGTGCTGGATTTTTAGGCCTTCTGTATTGCAGGGTCCCCACTGGTATAAATCATCACAGCTCATTGGGTGTGTGTTTTGCAGATGGAGGCTAAAGTTGTGATGGCAAAGCTGCTTCAGAGGTTTGAGTTTACCCTCATCCCAGGACAGACCTTTGATGTCCAGGACACTGGTACACTGAGTCCCAAGAGTGGAGTGGTTTGCACCATCAAACACAGGAAGTAAAAATAAACAAGTGGTGTTAAAATTACAAGTGAAGTCTCGCTTTGTGTGTATTCCTGCTTCAGCCAGAATCTACTTAAACATACTTAGATTTTTTTATTCATTTGCTGATTTTGTTTTGTTTGTTGTAAATTTACTTGATAAATGTATTCAGGGCATATTCTTTCAAAGGTTGTTTTGTTGTTGTGCATTCAGTCTCAAGTAGGTATCGCTACAGGCAAATTCGGAAGGTGTATCTGGGCGGCCACATCTGATTGGACGATAGAAAAATGGGCGTATCCGGCCGGCCACATCTGATTGGAATATAGGAAAATGGGCGTGTCTGGCCGGCCACATCTGATTGGATGATAGAAAAATGGGCATGTCTGGCCGGCCACATCTGATTGGATGATAGAAAAAAAGGCTGAACGATAAAAAGCCGTTTGTGTTAACCACAGACACTTTATGTCTAAAAACAAGGCGTTATTGGCAGATTGTGTTAACCACAGGCATATTATGTCTATGGTGTTAACCGGTTCGACATTAGCAGCGTCTCAGGTTCAACATTGGCGGCGTCTCCATAACTTCTTTTTCCGCGTCTCTTAACATCTTATCTTCCGGTTACATTTCAAAATAAGAGCAACACTACTGGGTAGTGGGGAGGGCTAAATGTTTGTTTTTTTAAATACCTAGCCATTACATTAAAAAACAAAATCCATTTTGGTTGTTGAAAAATGTGAAAATAGTTACAATCGATTCATAAAGAAAGAAAAATACAGTAACCAAAATATTAATGATACTTAAACTGGCCTTGGGACAAAGGATGTTTCCTTTAACTTCACATTGTCTTGTTCAACCTGCAGTCACTGCAGATGAGTGATTCACAGTTTCTGTAAGATTTCTGCAACTGGAGCAGATATTTCTGTTTACTGGTTAACTTCCTCAGCTGTCTCACATTTTAAGGGTCAGTCGTACTCCATGTTTCAGCTCCTTTCATAGATCAGATCTCATAGAAAAGAACTTCTAAAGAGCAAATTTTGTTTTTAGCATTTGTTTTGGGCCATTGTCTGTTACAGGACTCATGATCTTTAATTGAGACCAGACTTTTTGGACAAATAGGAGCAGGTTTCGCTTCAGCTGCTTCATATTTCATTGTACCCAGACCACACTCAAGCCAACCTGTGTCAGGTGCAGCCAACAACCCAAGAACAAAAGAGAATCTTCTTGTGTTTGACAGCAGATATAACGCTCGTTCTTAGAAACCATCAGTTTTAAAAAAGAGTTGACGTAACTTAACTAAAGAGCAGAAGATACAGCTAGCCAATCAGTGTTTGCCCCCTACAAACGCCTATTAGCCAGAAACGCGAACTTTTGGCCTGCAGAGAACCCCTTCTCTTCAGTCTGCTGTTTTTGACCAGTACTGACTGTGCCCACATGGGAGCACTGTGGCAACTCTCCTGTTTTCTTTTAAACAGAGTCTAGTCACATAAACAAATGTTAGGGAAAAATAACCAAAAACTGATGCTAAAAACGTCACCTTTATTTGCTGCCAGAGCCCTATAAAGAGAGAGTTGCAACACTCTTTGAACTCGCCGATACGCGGTCACGTGGTTCATGCAGCTCCCAATAGTTCCAAACAGTTCATCGCTTTCAGTCAGTTTGAGCGGCTGCTGGCGCAACATAACACAAAAATCGACTTTTCTTACTTTACCTGGCGTCTTTCAGTAATTATTGAGCAACAACAAACTGATTACTGATTATTTCACAGACTATGCATTTTATCAAAGCGTTTTTAGAAGCAGCTGATACATTTATCATTATAGAAGGAAACGAGACTGCAAACACATATTTGTTAGAATTTTTTTTTATATGCAATACAATGATAAATATAGCCATGTCAGTGTTTTATAACGTTACACACGTAAAAAAAAAAAGATCAGAGTAACACCTGTTATAAAGCTGTTTCTGATGTTCTCTGCTTGTCCTCCATGCAGCAGTTCAGATCTGCTCCAGCTTACCTCAGATCATCTGAATGAATTCTTGATTTCTATAGAAGATATTAATTCAACCTTTATTTAAACAGGTTCGTCCCATTGAGCCACGGGGACTCATTTACAAGAGAGACTGAATTTAATTGTTGTATTTGTCATTTTTTTATGTCAACCAAGTACCTGATAACTGAGTTGATTGTAGCCTGACAACTATTGTCAAACTGTAATTCATTGATTAAAATGTTAATTTAAATGAAACTGTTTCAGACAGCTCACCCAGCCGGAGACAGAGATTCTTGCCAGGGGACTGAACTTTGCGGTTGCACCAAGTAGAATTCCTCTGGTGGAGGTGATCACAGCCACAGAATCAGCCATCCGCAACAACAAAATTAAAGAGGCTGAAGCAGAACAGCTCAGAATCAAAGTTTCAGCCTGCCTCAGCAATGCCAAACCACCACCTTCCAACATCAGTAGAGAGGAGAGGGATGCACTCACCACTCTTAGCAAGGACAAAAACATCATCATTCTCCCAGCAGACAAAGGAAGGTGCACAGTGATTTTGGACCAGAAAGACTATCATGAGAAAGTTATGACACTCCTTAGTGACTTAAACACTTATGAACCTCTGAAAAGAGATCCAGGAAGTGGTTACAAGAAGAAATTGATAGATTGCCTGAAAATTTTGGAGCAGGACAAGGCTATTGACCGTTTTCTGTACCACAGACTGTACCCAGGGGAGGCCACACCTAGTCTGTATGGTTTACCTAAAATCCACAAACAAGGTGTACCTTTAAGACCAATTGTTAGCATGATTAACTCTGTCACTTACAATGTTTCCAAATATCTGGCGTCTGTACTCATCCCTTTAGTTGGCAGCTCAGAACACCACATACAGAGCACCATGGACTTTGTAGACAAGGTGAGGGATGTCATCATGGAGACTGATGAAACAATGATCTCTTTTGATGTCACATCACTCTTTACGTGCATTCCTGTTGATGATGCAGTAGAGGTGGTCAGTTTAAAATTAAAATCAGACACCACTCTGAGCAGCAGGACCACGCTTTCCACAGAACAACTGTGTCAACTCTTGAAACTGTGCCTGCAGTCAACCTACTTCACATATGGGGAGCAATATTATAGGCAGAAACATGGGTGTGCTATGGGGTCTCCAGTTTCTCCTATTGTTGCCAACCTGTACATGGAGGAGGTAGAAAAGAGAGCCTTGACGTCTTCTCAGGGACACCACCAAGTCATTGGTTCAGGTATGTTGATGACACCTGGGTTAAAATCAAATCTCAGGAAGTCCAACATTTTACTGACCACATCAACTCTGTGCATAAATACATCAAGTTCACACGAGAAGATGAAAAAAATGGCAAGTTGGCTTTCTTTGACTGTGAGGTCTCAGTCTCTGATAGAGGACATTTGCAAACTGAGGTGTACCGCAAACCCACCCACACAGACCAGTATTTGCAGTTTGACTCCCATCACCCTTTGGAGCACAAGTTAGGAGTCATCAGGACTCTGTATCACAGAGCAGACAGCGTCCCCACTAGCTCAGGAGCCAGGCAGAAGGAGAAATCCCACACAAGACAGGCTCTAGAGCAATGTGGATATCCTAACTGGGCCTTCCTGAAAGCAGAGAAGAAACCCAAACAGGACTCCAGTCAGCCATCAGGTGAAAAGGAGGAACCCAGACCCAGACCAGTGGTCATTCCATATGTTGAGGGAGTATCAGAGAAACTGAGACGTTTATTTTCTAAACATAACGTCCCAGTGGCTTTTAAACCCCAAAATACATTACGGCAAAGACTGGTTCATCCCAAAGATCCAGTCCCCCGGCACAAACAGAGCAATGTTGTGTATGCTGTTCAGTGTCAGGAGGGCTGTGATCAGTCTTACATCGGGGAAACAAAACAGCCACTGGCCAAAAGGATGGCCCAGCACAGAAGATCAACATCATCAGGCCAGGACTCTGCAGTCTACACTCATCTCCAGGCCAGCGGTCACTCTTTCAGGGATGAAGATGTTCACATCCTGGACAGAGAGGAACGATGGTTTGAGAGAGGAGTAAAGGAGGCCATCTTTGTGAAAAGAAATCGTCCATCATTAAACAGGGGTGGAGGCCTCCGGGTTCAACTGTCCCCCTCTTACAATGCTGTGATTGCTAGTATCACTCAGCCCTCTGTGAGTAGTAAACAGCCATCAGTGTGCTAATGATCCATTGTTAGGCTGATGGTCCTTCTTGAGCATGTGATCAGCTGGTTTTGGTTGTCAGCAGCAAACTGGTTGATCCACCCTGAGAAGGTGCTATTTAAGAGACTGAGCTGAATACAGCACCTCAGACTGAGGAAGTCTCTCGGACGAGAGACGAAACGTTTCTACATTTTTTGTTGTTGTTTTGCTTTGTTTTGTTTTTTTGAATGTCCAGAGGACCAGATTTAACTTTTTTAGATGTTTCTAGTTAAAATCATAACAGATGACAAAATAAGTGTTAACTGTGCAAAAATAAATTTCCAAACAATTTATTATAAAATATATAAAACAAGCTTTAATAAAGTACTTTTACTGCCATTTATACTGTTTATTAATGACAACATCTCAAGTCAGCAGGAGCACCATCATCATCATCACAACAACACAAAGCGAGAGCTGTAAATTTAATCTGCACAAACATTTTTAATCAGGGCTCAAAATGTTTAACTGTCAAAGAAATGTTCAATAAAATAAACTACTGTCACTCTACAGGCACATTTAGAGAGAGGACAGTTCACAGAGACACAGTGAGGACGTGTGAGACTGAAGGAGGTTCAACCAGAACCAGATGAGAAGAACAGCAGAACTTCCACTGACCAGTGATCTGACCAGTGACCTGACCAGTGATCTGACCAGTGATCTGACCAGTGATCTGACCAGTGATCACACATGTTGTTCTAAATTAAACTTTGGTACGAACAGTGTTAAATAAGACATGTCATATTTTTTTATTGAACATTAATCTTCATTCTAGCAGTGTCATTGTAATTTCAGAGACTGAGGAAGGAAGAAACAGAAATGAGGCGAGTGAGATGAGGGAAAGATGAAAATGTGTCCTCAGAGGACGGGGACATGTCAGGATCTGATGATCCAGGATCAACAGGACCAGGAGGATGGATCAACAGGCAGTCAGGGAACAGAGATGAAAAACATGAGGGAACAATTAGAACACAAAAAAATACATGAGCAGGACAGAAGAAACTCACAGACAAGAAAATTAACTCAGTCCTGTGAAGAAAAATGTT